TGTTGGTTTGCTATTTTGTCTCTATCACCTATGGACTTCAGGTTAATCTTCTTGTTTTTATTCTCTATTAGCTCAACTGCCGTATTTGGTCTATTCACCGACTCGAGTCGCTTCTCTGGACTCGCTTTCAGCTCTAAGGTCTGTTTTGCCTCTTGGTTGTTGATAACTCCTTCTTCCTCGGGAGGAGGGTCACCCTTGCTGTTAAGAGGTAACACTTCAGTGCTTGATTCCTCCTCCGAACCCCTCAGGGATTTTTCCTGTCGGCCATTTATCTCTTCCGGTTCTACCGCTACTTGCCTCTCTGTATCCCTGATCCTGCGTATTACCTCTCTGTATGCTAGGCAGACCCAGTTCAGCCTCTCATCCTTACAGTACTCATTATATAGATCCTGTGGGAGTCTCCCGCAATCCTGGTGAAATCATGCGTAGCAAGTTTCACATTGGATGCCATCGACTATCTGTCTTCTAGAGCATTCGGGGTCGCCACAGCGGTCTGCTCGTTTATACATGCGAGCAGTTGCTCGTTTCGCAGGATGTTTGCGTGAAGCACCTTTAGCCATGCCTATTTGTTGTTATAGAAGGATTGGAGTATGGTAAAAGAAAAAAAGGTCAATCCTATCACAGGGTAAGAGCTAGGGTGTGAGCTAGTGGCCCTCAAGGTAAGTGAACTAACCCAGGGAAAAACACAGTGCAACTCACTTGCGAGGAACAGTTTCGTCACTGTGGGACACTGGGCTGTGGTCTTTAGTGGAATAGACAGCAGATTGACCAGCCTATAGTTTCCTACGCAGTTCCTGGACCATCCATTGTGGATAGGCACCACCTCTGCTATCTTCCAGTCTGCTGGTAGTTGGTCGTGACATAGGGATATATTAAACAGACGGGCCATTGGGTGGGCAAGGACTGTTGCCAGGGGTTTCAGGATGGCCGGGTGGATGCCATCTGACCCTGCCGATTTGCCCGTATTTAGGCGCCTCAGGTGGTCCTCGATATCCTGCGGGAGTATTTCACGATCTGGCATACTTGGGATGGGCCTCGGAGTTGGTTGTCTCCCGGGTGCCCCGTTATCCCTAACATGGACTGCTTCGAAGAAGTGTCTGAAAATTTCCGCTTTCTCCGAGCTGGCCAGGACTGGGTGGTTGCTCTTGCCCTTAAGAGCACCTATCGTCATACGCAACTTTGAATTAGCTTGTACATAGTTGAAGAATGCCCTGGGGCATTCGTTAATCCTCCGCGCCAGTCTCGTTTCGAAGGCCTTATGGCAAGCCTTCTGGACGTTGATCGTCCTATATCTTTCCCTGAAGTACTGGAGAAACCTTTGGTGACTGCGGGTCGTGAGGTACTGCCTCCAAGCTTGACGCTTTCGGGCTTGTGCCTTTGCTACCTTGCTGGACCACCAGGGGAGTTGGCCGTTTCTGCGAATCTTCCTTAGCGGGGCAAACT